TTAGTATGGCTTTGATCTCCTATTCACAAATTTGATAACTTAGATGGAAAGGATCGATTTCTTGAAAGACACAAACTAGCAAAAACTCACACAATGAGAAGTAAACTGAATAGGCATATATATTAAAGAAACAAAATAATTAATAACCTTCCAAAACAGAAGGCACCAGACCCAGATGGTGGTTTCAGTGGTGAATTTTACCTGACTTTTCAGAAGGAAATGATACTAGTTCTCTATAATAATATTTTCCAGGAAATTGGAAGCAGAACACTTCCCTAACTCATTCTGGGAGCCCAGTGCTACCATAATACCAAGACCATATAAAAATATTACAAAAAAGGAGAACTCAAGACCAACATTTTAAATAAAAATAGATGCAAAAATCTTTAAGAAATTTTAGCAAGTCACACCAGTGATATACAAAATAATTGTATCCCACAATAAATTTATTTCAAGTATGCAAGGCTATTTTAACCATTCAAAAATCAGAGTAATCTATTGCTTCAACACACTAAAGAAAAAATCTTATGGGTCACATCAGAAAGTAGAGAAAAAATATTTGACACATTGTGGCACCCATTCATGATAAAAATACTCATCAGACTAGGAATAGAGAGGAACTTCCTGACTTGATAAAGAACACAAGACCTACAGCTAACATCAAATGTACCACACCAAAACATGTTAATGATGGGGGAATGTGTTTGTTGGCAGGTGTGTATATGGTAACTCTCTGCACTACTTGCTCTTATTTTAAATAAAAATTTTAAAGAGATAAATGTGAGAGGTGTTAAAATCATCCATGTGCAAAATGGAAATATTTTACAGGATGTAACAAAGGAATTAGAAAATAATTGAAAGGCCAGAAAAAAAAACATATAGTAAAAACATCATAATAGTTGAATAGTGGCAGCTTTTTCTCTGAGATGAGAAAGCAACAAAGATATATTTCATTACCAGTTCTATTTATCATTGTACTAGAGAAGATCATAGCCACTGTAATAAGCAAAAGAAATAGAAAGTATAATTATTGGAAAGGAGGAAAGTTCATTATTTAATAGTGAATTGATGTTTTATGTAGACAGAGCAAGACAGAGCAAGATTTTTTTCTCGGGAAAAAAAATCAAAATGAATAAACGAATTTAGAAATATGGTTGGGTACAAGGTCAGTATATGAAAATTAACATTATAAACTAGCAGCAATTAAAGAATGACATTTAAAATAGTCCCCTTTTTTTTTTTTTTGAGACAGGGTCTCACTCTCTCGTCCAGGTTCACAGCTCACTGCAGCCTTGAACTTCCCAGGCTCTGTTGATCCTACCACCTCAGCCTCCTGAGTAGCTGGGACTATGGGCATTCACCATGACACGTGACTAATTATTACATATTTTTTGGTAGCAATTGGCTTTTACCATGTTGCTCATGCTGGTCTTGAATTCCTGGGCCCGGCTGATCCTCCTGCCTCAGCCTTCCAAAGTTCTGGGATTATAGGCATGAGCCACCATGCCCACCCCAAAATATTCCATTTTAATAATAAGAACATTAAATAACCAGGAAAAAAATCTAAAGATGAGCAAGGTATCTATGTGGAAAACTATAACAGTTACCATGAGAAATTAAAGAAGTCCTAAATAAATTTTGGAATGGATCTTGTTTCTGGATTGGAAGATTTAGTATGGTAAAAATCTCAATTTTTCCCAAATTTTCTATAAATTAAATGCAATCCCAGTAAAAATTTCAGAAAATTTTCATGTGGAAATTGACATGCTGATTCTGAAACTTAATTGGAAATTCCGAGTATCAAGAATAACTAAGATAATCTTGATCAAAGTTGAAAGTCTTACGTTACCAGATGTTGTGACTTATTATTGAAGCTTCATGATTAAAACAGCCTTACCTGCACGAAGACAGACAGACTAATGGAGCACAATACAAAGTCCAAAAGTACATCCAGCCCTTCGCTCCCCTGTGTATATTTCTAACCAGGGTGCTATTGTAGCGCTTGCCTCTAAAGTTGAGGTTATCACATTTGAGATAGGAAGCACTTTCCAGGAAAGAATGTTTTGGAGGGGTCAGGACTCAGTTTGCCACTCGTGTAGCTATCTGTGTTTCTATTGCCAGTATCCCAGGCTGTGTAATTCAGTGCATTACTTTTACTCATTGAAACGTGAGTCAGGAATTGGCTTTGGCATCAGTGTGGTAGTTTGGAGTATTTGCCATGCCTGTGCAAATTCAACTACTTTCAGTGTAAAAGGTTGGTGAAGGGAGATAAGGTAAATACTTTAGGCAATCTATTTTTTCATTCAGTAATCATAAAACTAGGTAGTAAGCATGAGATGAAAGATGTGAATTCCTGTTCCACCTGTTGGTTTCTGTGTGTCTCAATGTGTGCGCATCTTGCTTCATTTGTGAGTGAAGCATGAATCCAGTTTGTTCCAAACAACTCACTCACTGAATGAAAACTACTTCATCTGTTATCAGTTAAGAAATAGCACTGTAGGCTGGGCGGGGTGGCTCACACCTGTAACCCCAGCACTTTGGGAGGCCAAGGCAGGTGGATCACCTGAGGTCGGGAGTTTGTGACCAACATGGAAGAACCCCATCTCTACTAAAAATACAAAATTAGCTGGGCGTGGTGGCACATGCCTATAATCCCAGTTACTTGGGAGGCTGAGGCAGGAGAATTGCTTGAAGCTGGGAGGCGGAGGTTGTGGTGAACCGAGATTGCATCATTGCACTCCAGCCTGGGCAACAAGAGCAAAACTCCATCTCAAAAAAAAAAAAAAAAAAAAAAAAAAAAAGCGCTGTTGACCTAAATAAGAAAACTAAGGCAAAATTAAGCTAGAGAGTTTATCTCAAGGTTGAGACTGAATCAGGAGAGGGGGCGATTACAAAAGTTGTTTTCTGGGAATTCTCATTGGTTTCCAGAATTAACGTTGATGAGTGATTGGCTGTACATTGTTGAACTGTGGGGTAGGAGTTATGGTGGCCAGTATGTGGCATTGTTGGGTTACCTTATAGCTACTTGTGTCAGTGACTCTAGGGCCCACATAGCAGCTCACATCTCTTAGATTAAGTTTCTTTTCTTTCTCGGGATCTAGTCCAATTCTGAGGGAAAAACAGCTGTGTTAAACTTTCCAAAGCAGTATAGGTAATGGTCGTGGGCTTGTGCTCTCGAGCCAGACTACCTGGGTTCAAACCCTAGTTCTAACTTTACTATCAGTGTGCCCTGGGCAGGTTACTTAACCTCTGTGCTCAGCGTCCTCACCTGTAAAATGAGGATAGTAATAGCAGTGTTGTGCCAGTCAGATGACTAGCATGTAAACTGTGGCTGGCACGTAGTCAGGCATAATCAATGTGAACTGTTTTTGTTATCGCCAGTATTATTACTAGTGAGATGTGATAAAGATGGTCTACTCAAGGGATTTTCAAGGGAAACTGCTAACTCTTTTTTTTACCTTTGACTTAGGCTTTTAGAACCCAATCCCTGCATGAAATCGGATTCTACTAGACCAGGCTAGTTTCTCTGTCTGGTGCTTGTTTCCTGTAGGGAGCTGACAGTCGGATATGGCTAGCTGTGGGATGGTCATATGTCATAGGACACAGCTCTTAGGGGCAGGAGAGCCTTTGAGTTGGGCACTGTAGATGTGTAGATACCTTGAAGTACCTTGAATATATATGTTTAAGTACTCATATTTTACCCGCCACCAGCATTTTTCCATGTACTAAAATCCACTGAATCTCTTTTTCTTTTTGAGATGGAGTCTCGCCCTGTCACCCAGGTTGGGGTGCAGTGGCACAGTCTTGGCTCACTGCAACCTCCACCTCCCGGTTCAAGTGCTTCTCCTGCCTCAGCCTCCCAAAGTGCTGGGAATACAGGTGTGAGCCACTGCGCCCAGCCAGAATCTTTAAAAGTCAACGTAGCCCTTATTATGCTTCTGTCCTTTGCTTTTCACTAGAAAATGACTGTAGCCTATACTGTAGGATGGCATCTGTGCAGTCCCTAGCCCATGGAACCGCATGTGGGTGTGTTCTTGTAGGGTACAACACTCTGATGTTTTATGATTCTACTCTCCTTCCCTGAGCCCGTGGATTTTTATCCCACTGCTGATTGTTACCTTTGAAGAATTTTGAGGATGGCTGTTTGCCATCTTCCCACTCTCCCCCTTCCACACTCAGAGGCACGGACTCTCATATTCACTTTCCAGGACCCTCAGAATTGAGGCACTGTTCTTGTTCCTGACTTCAGCCCTATCCACCCTTCTTTCACAGAAAAGCTGACCTTTGTTTTTGGCTGTCACTCTGCAGTACTGAGGCGCGCACGGCTGTTTGCTCACATGCTGTCAGCGGCAGCTCCTCTCCTTGACTGCCAGAATGTTAAGGCTTCACTCTGTCCCCTGCCCAGCTGGCAGCTACTGGTCCCTCTAAGGCATTACCAATGCCAACTAAAATTTTGTTTGCTTCTGTCTGCTTTTCTTTCCTCTCATCTTTCCTATGTCCTGTGGCTCCTTGGCTTTTGGCTAGGAAAAGCTGGTCACTTACAGATTTTGCCAACTAATGAACTCCATCTTTCTGCTAGGCGAACAAATACTTCAAACCAAATGGGCTTTGTCATCAAGCTTGTTTTGACGATGTTATTTGAGGCCCGGGCATCTGAGCCTGTTTAGTGCATCTAGCACCAAAAGAGGGCTTATTCTGCTAGAGAGTCGGTCTTCAAATAGAACCAGTTATGGTCTTTCTCCTGTCCATTTATTAGAACAAGGGAAATACAAACTTAATGATTTCTAAGGTAATTTGTACAGTGTGTAAAACATTGTATGCAAACATTTAATATTTCACCGTAGTTATATAAAATTATAGTGCACTCGTATATTGCAGATTGAAGAATCTTGAAAAAACTTACATATCCAGGTGACACATTAGATTTTATCTTTCAAGTTATAATTATCCTGAAATGTTAACACCATCTCGTATTTGTGTTTTTTTTCCTCTCTCTATAGAATATTTTCCTTCTTGGATATAGTAACTTTGTGCCGATGTGCACAGATTTCCAAGGTAGAGTATTCACCAGATTTTTAACCAATAAATGTCATTTTCTTAGAAAGAGTTTTAGTTCAAATTACTGAAAATCAAAATTTTATTATCTTTTATACTTAATATAACACAATGGTGTAGTTTTGCATTTGATGATTAACTTAATATACATCAAAAATAAAAGTTTGAAAATAAAGGTTAATCAAAGCTTTCTTTAATAGTCTCAATAAATGTGTTTCTTTCACCCCAATTCCTCTTCCTTTACCTCCCACCTTCCAGGCTTGGAACATCTTAGCCCTGGATGGAAGCAACTGGCAAAGAATAGATCTTTTTAACTTTCAAACAGATGTAGAGGTAAGTTAGCTTTGGTTTAGACAGAAAACTTTAAAAAGCTGAGTAGCTGTTCCCTCTTTCCCGCCTTTTTATATTTTACTGCATTTAGATCTAGTAAAGTGCTGAGGTGGAACAGAAAAAAAAAGTGGAAGAGATTTGCATACATCAAAACAAAATCCTGCTTCATTTTAATTGTATCAGTGACAGACTGCTTTTCCCTCGCTTATGTTTATAGTCTGAGTTTTACTACTCAGCTTTTTAAAGCCATGCACCTGCATCATTAACACCTGGTTCAGTGCTTTAACCTTAGGAGACTTCACAAATATTTATTGGCCTAAAAAATCTGCTGAGAATGTTAATTCAGCAGCAAGAGTGGAGAAATGGCAGAAGCCCAGGCTGGAAATGGAAAGCGTCATCCCGGCTCAGCCACTTAAGTCTGTAATCTCTTAGTACTTCTGTCTTATTATCCATAAAATAAAGAAGCAAAGTAAGAGTTAAGCCTTTTATCATTCCAAGATGCTGATATATTTATCCGTAAATATGTAAATATCTCCATTTAAGTGTGATAAAACTGACCAAATAAGGAAAGTTTATTTTAAAACGACTTTAATACTCAATACTAAATTTCTAACCATTAGAGAGCATTGCACTTCGGAATTGTCTGAGTGCTGGTTCCAGGGTCTTGAGAGTCTGAAGTTTATTATCTACCTTATGCGAAACCTAATTTATTTCCAGTTTAGCCAACTAACTTACAGTAGTGGAACTGCATTTTAATTTAGTTACCCAAATGGTATGTTTGCCATGTGTTTTTACCAAGGTGTACATGGTGGGGTGTTTTTTTTTTAATGGATAAGGAAATTAATATGTTTAACAGTAGGATTGAGCTAAGCAATTTCCTGCTAGCTACTTAACCTGGCTTGACTTCAACAAACTAATGGTCAGCTGTGGAGACTCTTCACCTCCTTCTTTAGGTTACTCACTGCACGAGAGTCTCTGGTCCTCACCTTAAACCAGTGGAGCACAATACTTCCAGTAAGTGGGGCGGGCAGAGCAGAAGATTTCCCTTTATTAAATCAAAAGAGAAACCCCTTATTTCTGTCATATTGTGGTGTTCTGAGCTTGGAAGGAGCAGGGACCTCAAGGATTTGTGCCCATCCTGGAAAGATAAGCTCTAGGTCCTGTCTTAACACTGTAGTTTCTGAATTAGGTGTTCTTTAGTGCTCTTTTGGGACTTATTGGCAGTGATTATAATAGTGCCCACCTAAACATGCCAACATTCCATGCCAGTGAATGTAATTCCCCTTCAAACTGATCATCTCTAAATCTTTGTTCACTGTGTTTACTTAGTGATGATGCAGAGGACCTATAATTTCTAAAAATTGTAGTCATTTCTACTGACCAAAAAGAACGTTATTGTTTTGAAAAAGTTGAGCAAAATAATTTCTCTTTTTCTGTGATTCTTCATGTCTCCTCAATTTTGATGACTTTTCCAACCATACAACCTTTTTGGAAAACACATGAAGAACTTTTAAAGTCAGGCCAGGTGCAGTGGCTCACACCTGAAATGCCAACACTGTGGGAGGCCAAGGCGGGCAGATTGCTGGACCCCAGGAGTTCAAGACCATCCTGGTCAAAATGGTGAAACCCCGTCTCTACTAAAGATACAAAAAATTAGCTGGGCATGGTGGCGCGTGCCTGTAATCCCAGCTACTCAGGAAGCTGAGGCAGGAGAATTGCCTTAACCCAGGAGGCGGAGGTTGCAGTGAGCCGAGATCGCGCCATTGCACTCCAGCCTGGGTAACAAGAGCGAAACTCTGTCTCAAAAAAAAAAAAAAAAAAAGAAAAGAAAAGAAAAAGAAAAAGAAAAAATTAGCCAGGCACAATGGCACATACCTGTAGTCCCAGCTACTCAGGAGGCTGAAGTGGGAGGATCACCTGAGCCCAGAGGGCAGAGGTTACAATGAGCTCTGATTGTGCCATTGCACTCTAGCCTGGGTGACAGAGTGAGACCCTGTCTCAAAAAAAAAAAATTGGGGCAGCACCAAGATGGCCAAGAGGAGGGAACACCAGAATGCAGCTCCCAGCAAATGAGATGCAGAGGGCTAGAGGATTTCATGATTCCAAATGAGGGGCCAGGTTCATTTTGGGGGGACTGGAAGGATTCTGACAGCCCAGGGAAGGAGCCAAAGCAGGGCGAGAGCCGCCCAGGGACAATGAACCAAGACAGGGCAGGCGTGTCCCCACCTGGAACATGCAGCCAGCTTGGAGGGTCGGTGGACTTCACCCCAAGTGCTCCAATTTGGATCCTGTGCTTACCTCATCCCTCCTGCAACCCACGGTCCACAAGAGCCCTGCCAGACTGAGGAGTGTGGTGGGTTGTCGATGCAAATCTGAGCCACAGCTCCCACCTGGTGCCGCAAGTTGTCAGCCGGACCTGAGCAGAAATTTGGACTAGTGCCAGTGGGACAGAACAACCCATCCCACAGAAAGAGGCAGAGTTGAAAGCAGGGAAACAGGTCATAAGGCCTGGCAGGCCCCACCCCCCCAAAACTCAAACTGAAGCCTGTGCACCAGAGAGCTTGGCAGTGAATACACCAGTTTGACCCCAACCAGGAAGATCGAGCTCAGGGAAGGAGAGATGCCATTGGGAAGGGGGGTTCTAATTTCACCTTCATCCCAGGGAAGGACCACCCACCCAGCAACCTGACTGAATCCAAGGCAGCCCAGCAGCGCTTCTACAGGCCAAAATGATACAGCTCCAGCTGCAACAGAAAGGACATCCACTCAGAGATTTCTCCTGAAATCACCAACTTCAAAGATCAAAGGGAGATAAGTCCATGAAGATGGGGAAAAAACCAGCACAGAAAGGATAAAACCTTCAAAGACCAGAACACCTCTTCCCCTCCCAGGGATCACAACTCCTCACCATCAAGGGAACAAAACAAGACAAAATGTGTGTGATGAATTGACAGAAGCAGGCTTCAGAAGGTGGATAATAACACACTTCTCTGAGTTAAAAGAACACGTTCTAACCCAAGGCAAAGAAACTAAGAACCTTGAAATAAGGTTTGAGGAAATGCTAACTAGAATAACCAGCTTAGAGAAGAATATCAATGACCTGACAGAGCTGAAAAACAGCACAAGAACTTAACAAGGCATGCACAAGTTTCAACAGCCAAATCGATCAAGCAGAAGAAAGGATATCAGAGATAGAAGATCAAATCAATGAAATAAAATGAGAAGGCAAGATTAGAGAAAAAAGAGTGAAAAGAAATTAACAAAGCCTCCAAGAACTATGGGATTATGTGAAGAGACCTAATCTATGCTTGATCGGCATAATCTATGCTGAATGTGATGGGGAGAATGAATCCAAGCTGGAAAACAGTCTTCAGGATATTATCTAAGAGAACTTTCCCAACCTAACAAGGCAGGCTAACATTCAAATCCAGGAAATACATAGAACACCACAAAGTTATTCCTCAAGAAGAGCGACTCCAAGGCACATAACCATCAAATTCACCAGGGTTGAAATGAAGGAAAAAATCCTAAGGGCAGCCAGACAGAAAGGTCGAGTTACCTACAAAGGAAAGACCATCAGACTCACAGCAGATCTCTCGGCAGAAACTCTGCAAGCTAGAAGGGAGTGGGGGCCAATATTCAACATCCTTAAAGAAAAGACCTTTCAACCCAGAATTTCATGTCTGGCCAAACTAAGCTTCATAAGTGAAGGAGAAGTAAATCCTTTACAGACAAGCAGCTGCTGAGAGATTTCATCACTATAAGATCTGCCTTACGAGAACTCCTGAAGGAAGTACTAAACATGGAAAGGAACAACCAGCACCAGCCACTATGAAGACATACTGAATGGTAAAGAACAATGACGCAATGAAGAAACCACATCAACTAACAGGCAAAACAACCAGCCAGTAACAAAATGGCAGGATCAACTTCACACATAACAATATTAACGTTGAATATAAATGGCCTAAGTGCCCCAATCAAAAGACACAGACTGGCAAGCTGGATAAAAGTCAAGACCCAATGGTGTGCTATATACAGGAAACCCATATCATGTGCAAAGACTCACATGGACTCAAAATAAAGGGATGGAAGAAGATCTGCCAAGCAAATGGAGAGCAAAAAAAAAAAAAAAAAAAAAAGCAGGGATAGCAATCCTAGTCTCTGATAAAATAGACTTTAAACCAACAAAGAACGAGAGAGACAAAGAAGGGCATTACATAATGGTAAAAGGATCAATGCAACAAGAAGAGCTAACTATCCTAAATATATATACACCCAATACAGGAGCACCCAGATACATAAAGCAAGTTCTTAACAACCTACAAAGAGACTTAGACTCCCACACAATAATAGTAGGAGACTTTAATACTCCACTGACAATACTGGACAGATCAATGAGATAGAAAGTCACCAAGGATATCCAGGACTTGAGCGCAGATCTGGACCAAGCAGACCTAATAGACATTTACAGAACACTCCACCCCAAACACATTCTTCTCAGCACCACATCCCACTTACTCTAAAATTGACCACATAATTGAAAGTAAATCACTCCTCAGCAAATGCGAAAGAACAGAAATCATAACAGGCAGTCTTCCAGACCACAGTGTAATTAAATTAGAACTCAGGATTAAGAAAAGCACTCAAAACTGCACAATCACATGGAAACTGAACAACTTTCTCCTGAATGATGAATGGATAAACAGTGAAATAAAGGCAGAAATCAAAATGTTCTTCAAAACCAATGAGAATGAAGACGCAACATACCAGAATCTATGGGCCACATTTAAAGCAGTGTCTGGAGGGAAATTTATAGCAATAAATGCCCATATGAGAAACAAGAAAAGATCTAAAATTGATACCCGTCATCAAAATTGAAAGAACTAGAGGAGCAAGATTTAAAAAAAAAAACTCAAAAGCTAGCAGAAGACAAGAAATAACTAAGATCAAAGCAGAACTGAAGGAAATAGAGACACAAAAAACCCTTCAAAAAAATCAAT